TATTATGTGCCAGGCACTGTTCTAAGTTTAGAGGTGAACTTAGGCCATCACTACCCTATGGTGCTGACACTGCAGTGGGAGGCAACAAGTAATAAAGACACAAAGAGCTGTGCAAATGAGATCATTCTGTGCGGTGGTTTCACATGCAAGTAAAGCAGGGTGATGGAGGAGATGAGACAGACAGCGGAGGAGGGAAGTTAGGGAGGACTTCCCTGGTAAGGTGACATCTGAGCGGGGAATTGAAGGAATACAAGGAGCTAGTTCTGCAAAGATTCAAGGAAAGAGCTCTCCAGACAGCAGAAGCGGCCTGTGCAAAGGCCCTTAGGTGGGAACAAGCTTGGTTGACTGCAGGAGTGTGTTGTTGGAAGGTGGTGTGTGTGGGAGAGAAGTTGGAGACAAGGTTGGGGTACAATGGTCCCAAGAACCCCATGTCATTCCCCAGCCCACATGTCAGACCTGGAGACCCTCCTGGGAGCAAAGAAAAGAAGCCCCTGCCATGGAAGAAACCAAGGCCCTGAAGGGCTGAGATGTGCCCAAGACCATTCCTGCTCCAAGTCCCCTGAGTCCTGGCTGCAAGCCTTTCCATTTGCAAGGGCGAGAACCCACAACTGTGCCCGGGGCGGGGCAGGAATGGAGGGCATGGCAGACTGAGGATGCCTCCTCCCAGCCTGGCCTGGCCAGTCAGCTTCGGGCTGGGTGGGGCCTGGCTCCTCAGGCCCTTGACATGCCACCACTAGCCACTCTATCTGGTCAAATATGCAAGTGGCCCTCGGGACAGCAGAGAGGAGCATAGCTAAGCAGGCCTTATCTGGGCTCCGCCCCAGCTGCCAGGGGCTGGTCCCTGGTGTCCCCTGACTCACAGGCCTGCCTGCGGCCAGGGCAGGGGTGGGAATCCAGCTCCCAGGAGCACCCGGACCAGACGGGGCAGGGCAGGAAGGGACAAGACCGACACCCCTCCGTGTGCAAGAGGCTGGGCAGGGACTGGGAGGTGACTTTTCACTTCGGTGGAATTCCATCCCCCTGAGCTCACCTCCCTTGGAGCAAGCGGCGCATTCCAGCAGGGGCCAGCCCCGTCCCAGCTGGGCCCCCATCCCCAGGGCTGCCTCTCCTGGGCTCAGTCACCACACTCTCATGAAGGGGTTGCTGAGGGCTCCCACCCTCCCCCAGGCCCCCAGAGCTCCCTGGTGCACTTCTCTCTCTGTACAGTAAGGCCTCGAAAGCCTGGCCTGCCAAGTACAATATTGTCATGGAGGCTTGGAGATCCTTGGCCCTTGGCTGGGTTTCGCAGCTGCCCAGGCTTCTCTGCACTCCTGCAGGGGGATGTCTACACGCACTCACAAATGCACCCAGAAGGCCCAGGTTCTCCTGGTTCTCCTCCAACCTCCCTGACTGTCCTTCCCTTCCCATAGCCCTCCTGTCCCAGTACCCATTTGCCCAGGCTGTGGCCCAGGCTCTCTCCTCCTTTTCCCCTTTAACCCTCCCACCGGGCAATCTTACAAAGACCAGGGCTTCCATTACCACCCTGCTCCTCCACCCCAAACACACCTGACGCAGCTCCTACCTATTATGCTTCCTAAACAGCCTTCCCAGCCATGCGCCCCGAGGCCCCTGCTGGGTTTAGGCACCAACCTTGGCCACAGCCCCTTCACTCTGTTCTCCACTCTATCCCAGACAGGTCAGAAACCTGCCCAAGCACTGCGCCACCAAAGCCTCTTCTGGGCACCTCTGGCCTGAGACAAAGTCCCACTCCTTGTTCTGGCATTCAAGGCTGTGTGTTAGGATCTAGCCCCCTCTGCAGCCTCATCACTTGTCCTCCCCACCCTCGGCCACGTGGAGCCCCCACAGCATGCTTTGTTAGGACTTCGTGCTTTTAAACATGCCTGTGCTGCCTGAACTGCCCTCTTCCTTCCTGATGCCTTGTCAACCTGGAGGACTCCTAAGCCTTCAAAGCCCTGCTAAGAGTTCTCTTCTTCTGCCTAGCACTCTTCAGACTTCAAGAGGAAACAAACCGCTCTTCCTCTGACCTCTTTTCTTCACTTTCTACATCACGTTTCTCCTACAGTGTGTAGCTCTGAATCACAAGTTTTGCTTCTTGGACCTGATTCTCTCACTAGACTGAGCATCTAGTCTTGAGGGCAAAAACTGGGTATAATTTCCTTGCTGCCCAAAAGGCTGGAAAGAAATTATTCAAAGCCACAAAGATTCCACCATCCAAAGATTTCAACACAATGCTTCTGACTCTTCCTTTCCTCCCAGTTGGGGAGCCTATGATTCCACACATCACACGCTAGGATGTGAACTTCGTATTCTAAGACCCCAACCTGAGCAACCACTGATTTCAATCCAAAGTGCAAAGACCCCGAACTGCCAATAGGGGAAGCTATAATACTAAAATCACCTCGCCAAAAGATATTGGCACCTAACCATTCTGATTCGGCCTGCAGACCACACAACTGATGAGACAATGAGGGAAAGGGGGGGATGCCCCGCAGCCTCCTTGAGGTGCTGCCCCTGCCCCATGGCCCACACCCTGCTGGGCTCAGACTCGAACTGGAGACCTGCGAGGGCAGGACGCCCCTGCGGCATTGATTCTTCCTCATCTGCCAGGGGAGTCGAGGGCTCCCCTGCAGCTCTGGGGCAGCCCCTCATCAGGTCTGCAGAAGCCGCCCCCACCCTGGCCTCCCCGCTTCCCCTTCTCTCACACCAGCTGCCAACAAGCCCCAGAGCCTGTGGTCAGGTTGAGTCTTGTTTCCTCACGGCAGGAGCGAGGGAGCGGGTGATAAACACATCTGCGAGCCTTTCCGAGGCGCTCAGCCAGGAGCAGCGGCAGGCTGGCCCCTCTGCTCCTGCCGGTTCCCAAGCCCTGCCATGCGTGGGGCCCACGACAGCCTGCTGGGAGGGGGCTTCTGAGTGGGGTCCCATGCCTTCGAGTAAATGGCGTGTTGCAAAATCCTGGGGAACCGACTGGCACCGGTCAGAACAAGGAGAGGGTCATAGTCCCAATCGACAGATGTGGAAACTGAGGTCGCAAGAGGGGCTGGAACCCACAGCAGCTGGTGGCTGTCTTTGTTCGTGCCCTTGTCGGGGCCCTTGGGGTGTCTCAAGGCAGCAAGTGAGTGTCTGGCCACTTGGGGCTAGGCCAGAAGACCACCTTGGTGTGCTCTGGCTGAGTGGTGTGTGTGGTCACTGACCTAAGTCCCACGGGTCAGCTGGCACCCTCTCTGAGCCTCCATTTCCACCCCTATATAGCACAAAGGGGCGGGACGGGTGGTGACTCAGGCCTTTCTCTGCACACACCGGGGAGTCTGCAGTCCCGCCTCTTGGCTCAGGAAATACATAGTGTCTGTAGAAGTGCTTTTCTAGAAAGCCATCCTCAAGGGTCCTCCCTAACCAGAGAGCACTGGGCAGGCAGGGGGATGTATGGCCTTCCACTGGGCTTTCCTGAGCTGGGAGGGCTGTTCCTGCTCAGAAACATCAGGTCAGGCCTGGCCTGCACTCCACCTAGACCCAGCTCCTGACCCCACTCAAGGTAGCCCTCTGCCTCCCAAGGGTCTATGACTTCTGCCCCTCTCCTGCCCCAGAACCATCAGTGGCTCACCAGCAACTACAAGGCACTCATCCGTTCACTCCATACATATTTGTAGAGTGCGTACTGTGTGCCACGCTCTGGAGTGCTGCTGTGTCTGAGACACCCCAGGCCTCTGTCCTCAGTATGCTTACAGTCTAGAGAGGGGAGAAAGCCACAGAACAAGGCAACCTTGGAGAAAAGGCTAAGAAGGAATGGGAAGGGAAGCCTCTCTGGAGAGAGGACATCATGGCTGAAACCTGAAGGACAAGGACATGGCAGCCATAAGCAGATCTAGGTGCAGAACACAAGGCTGCTTCGGCCCCATCCTGCAGGGGTTCCCTTGTCAGGGGCTCACAGACTGGTCAGTGTGGTCCCCAACTGGCCCCCTGCCCCTACCTCTGGGCCTGCGTCCATTCCTCCCCAGCTCACCAGATCTTGGCTGCTTCCACCTCCTTTCCCTGCCTAGCCAAACCTCACTCATTTCTTGGGGCCTGTCTCCTCCAGGAAGCCCACTGAGATTGGTCTTACAGCCTCTGACAGTTCCCAGTGTCTGTGTCGCCCATGGGCTCATGGCAGCACGACAGAGCAACAGCCACAAGCCTCACACCCAGTGGAGCTGTGTGGCTCACAGAACACACTCCCGTGGGATCCACCCTGACCCTGACTTGCTACCGGTCACGTGCTATTCTCTCCTTTAATTCTCACCATGGCCCAGTCAGGGAGCTGTGGGTGAGGAAACAGAGGCTGGGAGAGGGAAGCCATGTGTCCTCCTCCTGTCTGCCTTGAGGAAGTGAGGGCTTCAAGGCAGGAGAGAGCCTGGGACCTGGGACCTGCAGGGTGATCTGACCACAAAATCAGGGAGAAGGGAGCAGCTGGGACCCCTGCAGGGATGTGCCACCCTGGGCAGGAGCTCCCAGCCATGGGACTAGACAGGCAGGGCCTCGTAATTTCCCCCAGGACGTTGTCCTGGGGTAGACCAGGTGAGCAATTCCCCTGTGTGACTCACCAAGGCCACCTGGGAGGCTCTGACACACAGGATGTGGCCAGAAGCCTGAGAAGAGGGAGGAAGGGAAGGAGGGAGAGAAAAAAGCAGGGAGGGAGGGAGGCAGGAAGGGAGCAAGGGAGCAAGGGAGAAAGGCTAATTTGGCTCCTCCCGAGGATAAGAGTCCACATCTGTCCCTCTTTCCACCTTGCTGAGTAACATCCAATTCGTCTTAAGGGAGACTCAGTTATCCAACCTCTCTAATAGCTGACAAGCTTTGTGCCATACACAAATCCTAACCAGCCACAAGCTGATGCCAACGCCAAGCAGAGTGAGGCTGAGGGCAGAGCCCTGTGGCTCCTCACCAGACACCCAGCACCAGGTGTTATGAACAAGTCATTTCGCAGTATCTCCGCGAGCGCCGCCCAGCTGCCCTCCCTGGCTGCCTACCTTTCGGCCTGCCTCGTTATTGTGCAAGTTCATGAGAGTCCGGGCATTCTGCTTGATCTCCCGGGCATCCACAAAGACCTTGGCGAAGCCGATGCCGTAGCGGATGTCGGCAGAGCAGCCACCCCACTTCCAGCCCTCGTCCCGGTGGTACTGGCCTTGCTTCTCTTTGTCGCAGCCACAGTCGCTTAGGTTGCCCTGGGTACAGGCAGCTGTGATGGCATGGGCCACGCCGGCAGCAATGATGGCGTAGGTGAACGCAGCCTCCCGGCTCCCTGCGAGGAGGAGAGGAGACAAGTTGGGGTCAGGTCCCAGGCACTTGAGAGGAGCCTGGGCCTGACTAAGGAGTGAGGCTGAGCTCAATGCAATGGCTCTCCAAAGCTCGACTGTGTACCCGTTCCTAACTTGCAACAAAGCTCCCTCTTAGGGTGATGAGCTGAGCAACTGCCATTACGCACACATCCATTCAACCCCCAGAACCTGGGGAGTCAACTGGGCAATAAAGGAGGAATGTATGTGGGCTGGCTGCCCAGGATCTGGAAAGCCAGATGGGGGGGGACCCCTCTAGCCCATCAGTTCCCACTCCCCACTCCCAAGCACCCTTGACCTAACCATGTAACCTGCACACGTGCATAAAGCTCACAGCATCGTAAAGCAGCATTTCCCCAACACCCACGGAGGGCACTGGTTCTGGGGCCAGAAGGCCTGAGTTTAAATCCCAGGAACATCAATCCCTGGCTCTGTGACTATTGGTCAAGGACTACCCCTCCCTGCGCCTCAGTCCCTCTGGCTGTAAAATGGAGACATATCATTGGTAACTTTCTCATGGCAATGAGAGAGAACAAGAGTTTGTCCATGGAAAGCTCTTGGCCCCATGTTTCGTTTATGGAACCTGCCTGCACCCTACCTCTTGTTTTCGTGGCCACTATTACTCCTTCTGTGTGTCACCTGCTATTTCAGATGTCCATCCCTTCCCTTCTTCTGTGTCCCCCTCACTGGACTGTGAGTATCTCCAGGGGAGGGGCAGGGTCCTGAGCAGCTGGGGTGCAGGAGACAGCGTGGGACGGGCAGTCACTCAGAGCTGGTGTGAATATGGTGCTGCCACCTAGCCTCTTAGCCTCTCTGGACCTCAGTCTCCTCACCTGCAAAATGGGTTCAAGGGCTATGTCTACTTTACAGGGTGAAGACTGACCAAAGCAACCTACGGGAAGCCCTGTGTGTGGGATAAGTCCTGAGGAGCACTGGGCAAGTTCGCTCTCATGTAGCCTGGGTGGGTTTCAGGAAAGGCACCTGGAAGAAGAGGCCCCGGAGCCCGGAGCAGGCAAAGGGGGGCCAGAGAAGGTGTTTCAGAATGCCAGGATGGAGATGGCTTAAGCAGTGAGTGAGGAGGTGGATGATTTGCTCCAAGTTGCTTCTAGCCTTAAGTCACTCTGTCCCATGCTCAGGGAGGTCCTTTCCCCACCCACCTTCCCATTCGCCTTGGAACCTCCCTCCCCAGGAGGGACAGACACAAACAACTTGTCCGCTGCCCCATCACTGCCCTCCCACCCCGCAGAAAGTAGGCCTGTCCACCTGCTGAACTGGACAGCTTCCCTATGCCAGGGCTGGCTTTGCCGTGGCGTGCCATGCCAGCCCACCCATGGCGTCCCTGCTGAGTCCCATTTCACAATGTCCTGAAGGTCACAACAGAGAGGCAAAAAAAAAAAAAAAAAAAAAAATAACACAGAGGCTCATCCAGTGTCTGTCTGCCCAGCCAAATTTCAGGTTTACAAGATGACAAGGACCATGTCTGTCACTCCCACTGTCTCCAACACCCTCCAAAATGTGTGAGGGGTGAGACAGACCTGAGTCCCAATTTCAACCCCGCCAAAAGCTGTGTGACCTCGGGCAAGTCACTTAACCTCTCTGAGCCTCCATTTCCTCATCTGTTATTAGCAACTACCCTGTAGGAAGAGGTAGACATCACCTGGCACCTAGCAGGTACTTAAACAAACAGTAGTGAGCATTATAATTATAATAATTGATGAAATTATAGGTGCTACTGGGTGGTACAGAGAAGAACTTGCCCTGCCTCTGTTTTATCCATGGCCTTTATTGCTCCCTGCCATTTTAGACTTAGCTGCTGATTTTCTGTTCCCCATACCAGCCCTACCACCATAATCAACTCTTGTCAAAATGCACTTCTAAAACGAGATGGCATTCAGTTGTTATCAATTAAAACTTATCAATAAATAATTTATCAAAACCATTCAAACTGGATGGCTTGCTGAGCTGAGAACAGAGTTTGATGGTAGAAAGAAAGCAGAAAAAGCTTCTGGAATCTTAAAATAAATCTCAGATTCCATCCATGTCTGCCTCCTTTACTCATCCCAGGTAAGGTGGGGAAACTGAGGCTTGGGGAGATGAGCTGACTTGCCCAGGAAGAGTTAGGATGCAAACCTGGAGGTCACCTGCTGTGCCTAACCACTCCAGAGAACTCCCTTGGACCCTGGTCACCCTCACTGCTCCGAGAACCGCCCTTTTCTCATCTGTCTAGGGAAGCCCCTTCATTCAGGTGGGTAATTTCCCGAATGCCATCTCATTTCTCTTAGGAGATACCTGCAAGGGTGGTCTGTTCTACTGCTGTGGAAATGGGATGAGATCATATGCCCAATGGCATATAGTCCATAAAAAGCTGAGCAAAGACATACGAAATGTTTCTTATTCACTAGGCTCTGTTCTAAGCACTGAATATAGATCCACAATATATGGCAACAACGCATGAGGTGGGGGCTATTATCTGCATTTTACAGATGCAGAAACTGAGGCCCATGTGATACAACCTATAAGGATTCAAACTTGGACAGCTGGCCCCAGAGTTGGACCCACTCCCTTGCCTCAAGGTCTTGAGAACCATTCCAGTCCTACTGACTCCAGGCCTACATTCTTGCCCAGATCATCCATGTGGAGCCTGTGAGTGAACCCTGGGCTTGGCCACCATGGCCTGTGTGCCCTCCAGGATCAGATCCTCCATCCCAGCAGTGGGGACAGCCTGCTGTGAAAGGCCTGCCTCTCCGTCCTGCCCAGGAGCAGAGGAAGAACCTCCCTCAAATCCTGCCCTCCCCTCCACCTCCTTGACCAAGCCATCTATTCCTTCATTCATCAGATATTTCTTGAGCATCTACTATGTGCCAGGCACTGTTCTAGGACATGAGGAAAGTCAGATGAGGAGTTTAGACATGGCTTTGCCTTCGTAGAAGGACAGGCAGCAGGATAATGCCACTCCGTGGCAATTGAGGACTTTGAAGGAGGTGACACAGGGCAGTGATGGGAGTGGGGGACATCTGGGGTGGTGACTTGAGCGGAGAGGTCAGGGGGCTCTCTAGGGGCAGAGAAGGCATCAGGCCAAGTGGTAGCCTGAGTGATGGCACTGACGTGGTGTGGTCAGCTAGTGGCAGGAGCCGGTGAGCCAGGTTGGCACCGGAGGAGGTGAGGCTGAGGGCAGGTACGGATTCTGCCAGCCCTTCCTCTCCCCAGAATCAGAGAAAAGATTCCTAGAGCCACAGAAACAAAGCCAGGGGGCTCCTACTGGAATGATAGCTTCAAGGAGGATGGGAGACTTGCTCAAGGTCACCAGTGACTCAGCAAGACCAGAAGATCCCCCGGGCTCCCTCACCTCCCCCATGCCCTCCTTACCTTTCAATCCACCCACATCTCCCAGGTAAAGTTTTCATCCAGAAGCCCAGAGACCTTCCCTCCTGGGATATCCCAGGTGACTTCAGCTCAGAACTCAGGTAAGATGGAACCTGTCAGTCCCTCCTGTGTACTTCTCATTCACTGGGGGAGCCCCAAGCAAGGACTCTGCCTCTCTGAGTCTCAGCTTCCCCATGTGTGAAGTGGGAACCCTTAGGAGGACATCGCCAAGTCCTGAAAATTAAATGAGACCTCTGTGGAATGAAGCCTCTGTGGAGCTCCCAGAAGGTGCTTGATAAAGAACGATACGTATTATCACTGAGATGAAAATGGGGAGCCCAGCTGACGCCCTCTGTGGTTCCAGCTCCATAATGATCCCAGCGGGTATAGAGGAAATAAACTGATGTCCAAGCCTGCCCAAAAGATTCCATTCCACCGCCCTGTGCAGCCACTGTAAATGGTTTGCACCGGAATATTATCTGGGTGTATTTACGGTATCTTACTGGAAACCACAAAGTGCATTGTATTCTTTTTTTCTTTTGCTATTTAAAGCCAATGGGTCAGAGAGCAAGCAATCTGCAGTGACACAAGCTGAAATATATGATTTGGAAAATATACAGATGGAAAAAGGTTGCACTTGCCAGCCCCATGGCATGGCAGTTCATAGCCCCTCTGGGCTCAGAATGCCACATGGGGCTGTCTCATCAAGAGGAACCAGGGAGCCTCACAATGAATAACTGGAAGATTTGGGGATGCAGGGAGCTGTGTCTGGGCTGAGCTTGGTAAGGTAACAGGCCCACAGCTAGGGAAACTGGGGAGGGGTGTGTGCAAGCCCCAGCCTCTGTCTTTCTCCATCCAAGGGTCTCTCTCCCTACTGAGCAAGGCCAGAGCACGCTGCTGACCACTTGCCAACGGTCAGCATCTGCTCCTTCCTGGCTTCACGGCTTTGCACATGCTGTTCCCTCAGCCTGCAATTGTCTTCCTTGTTCCATCTGCCTGCTAAGGGGCAGGGAATGTAGCGCAGGAGGTTTTAAAGCAGAGCCCTGGAGGTGGATAAATCTGGGTTTACGTCCTGGCTCCCTTTTCCTGGCAGTGGGACCTTGAGTGAGTTAACTCACCTCTCAAGGCCTCAGTTTCCTCATTTGTAAAGTGGGAATAACAAAATATCTACCTCCCAGGGTTGTTGGGAGGATTAAATAACCAAATGCACATGACAAGCTCAGCCTGCACTCGGTAAGGGACCAATAAACAATAGCTCTTACTAGATGCATTATTGGTTAGCACCATATCCATCAAGCCACGGCTCCAAAGTTCCCTACTCTGAGGTGCCTCCCAAATGTCCCTTCCCTCCACTTGTGGCCCAGCACCCTGTCCATCCTTATTTTGTACTGAATTGAATGATCAGTCTCTCACCGCTAGGCTGTGGGGGCCTGGATTATTTATCTGTGAAGCCTCAACAGTTGAATGAATGAATGTGCATGTGAAAGCAAGTGTGTGTGTGTGTGTGTGTGTGTGTGCATGTTGCATGCGCACGCACGCCTGCCTGCCTGCCTGTCTACCATATGAAAGCTGGGAAGAGAACATTATAACAAAAGACTCATCT